TAAATGTGAATTTTAAAATCTTACAGATCTGAATTCTTGCACATCTGAAATTTTGCAAATCAAATTCTAGTAAAACTAAAATTTTGATAATCAAATTTTAGTGAATTCTTGCGAAGCTGAAAGTTCTTGCGAATTTGACCTTTGAATTTTGAACTCAAATTGTGAATCTTTGAGTTTTTCTTACAAATTTCATCAGACATGATCTATAACTCATCTGGTAATGATTGTTCATGAGCAATTTATTTTTTAAAGTTGTGGTTGCCTCTATTTAAAGGAGTAATTTATTTTTTCACAGTTGTATTACCTCTGTTTAGAAGAGCTTATTTACTTTTTCCAAAAAAAAAAAAGTAACAATAACAAAAAAAGATGAATGTGTTGGGATGATCATATGCAGGGTATCTATGTCTTTGCACAATTTTTGTTGCACGGAAAATGCGCAAAGAGAGGTAGCTGTAGACACCCTAATTGATCTGGGCTCAAACCTATTGGGCCTGGTCCAATAAGGTTTAAGCCTAAACAATTGGATCTAGTTCAATGAAGGGCAAGTTGGCCCAAAATTTTTTTATTTGTTATTTTATTATTTTGAGTTTTTATTTTAATTATTATTTTAAAAAATAATGATTAAAATTAAAAAATAATAATAAATAAAAAATAAAAAAATGAAGAAGGTTCTGTCGTGGATTGGGCTAATGGTAGAATCATGGTTGAATTAAATTTCATGGCATAAGACAGGATTATGGTCAAAGTAGGAGTTAGAATTAATCAAAAATTCTTCTAATTAAATTCTATAAATACTCACTGATCAGAGAGAGGAGACACACCAAAATACAAAAATCAGAAGCACAGAGCAAAAAGTCAAAGACAACAAGTAAAAGCAAAGATAGACGTGTTTAGGAGAGCCAAAAGCAATCATAGAATTTTTAGGATTTTTCTCAGAAATTTTGGCATTTTTTTCTGGAAATTTTTTGAAAATTTCAGATTCTGATAAGTTTTTTGACGAGATTCATATTTTTCGACAGCTTTTTTCTAGTTTTCGATGAATATTCAATCGGATTCTGGACAGGTATAAAGAGAGGGAGAGAAAAAAGAAAGAGGAGAGACAGAGGGAAGAAAGCAATCTAAGAAAAAACAGAAATTTGAGCCTTTTATACCGTCCAAAAACGATGTCGTTTTAGGTCTTTTATTTAGTCAAGATCCTTACATTTTCATCTGGTAACCTGACCCGATCAAGACCCGATCCAGTGACCCACGTCCCAACCAGGCCCTATAGTGAGCCGAGCCATTTTCTCGAGTCGCATTTCTAAGCCATTATTTGTGTCTTAAGCCAAGCCAATCTAAGCCGCTCCTGCCGAGCCATTTTCATTTTTTGGTTATTTATTTATTTTATTTAGTATTTTATTTTTTTCCTTGGTTTTTTTTGTGATTAATTTTTTAAATATATATCTATATGAAAAATAAAAAAATAAAAAAATTTAGGAATAAATATTAATTATCTAATGATGAAATTTATAGAAATTTTAAATGGTAAATTTTTATAAAATTTCTATGTGATAAATTTTATCTAAGTTTGTCCCAAATTATGAAATAATTTAGATAAAGTTTTAATAACAATAATTAATATTTATTTTCAAAACAAAAAAAAAAGAAAAATATAAAATATAAAATTTTTGAAATTAAATACAAATTAACCAAGGATGAGATTCTTAGAAATTTCAAATGGTAAGTTCCTAAGAAATCTCTAGGTAAAAACTTTTCTCTAAATTTGACTCAAATTGTGGAATAATTTATATGAAATTTTAATACAAATAAATGTGTTCTTTTCCAAATAAAAATTTAGTTGAAAATATGTGATAATTATCCAAAGATGAGATTCTTAGGAATTTCAAATGGTAAATTCCTAAAAAATCTCTAGGTGAGAAATTTTCTTTAAATTTGGCCCAAAATGGTAGAATAATTTAGATGAAATTTCAATAAAAATAATTATCATATTATTTTTTTCCAAGGAAAAAAAAGAGAATTTCTAAATAGGCCTAAATGGTGAAAAAATTTAGAAATTCAAAACAAAAAAATATTTCTAATTTGACTCAAATGGTGGAATAATTAGATATATTTTTGCTAAAAAAATAAAACTAACAAAAATTTTCCCAACGACGAAGCCTCTTTAAGAAATCAAATAGGATTCTTGAATACTCTAGAGATGAAAAAATATTTTTAAGAATTCTACCAGATTGATGGAAGAATCTTAATAATTATTTTTAATATTTAACATAAAAGTTTGAAACCATTAGACTCAAAACCATAGGATAAATTTAAAATAATATTGTACCATCATTCGGATTGGTATGTGGGGATGCTATAACCTTCTCCACATGTAACTGGCTCCTGAATCCTGTTCTGGTTAGTAGACCCAAATCTATTCTTTTAGGAACCCTTAGTCAAACTTAAGAGTTCTTTAAAATGATAGATTCTTTAGGTGGCCAATCATACCTAGTTAAAAAAGATTGGTGACGACTCCATTTGTTAAATCTAGCTATAGATTTTTGAATTTATATGTTATGACAACTACATTTTCATCTAATTTGTTAACCATCATATTATTTTTTATTACTTGCATTTATATTGTTCGTAATTTATCTCTAGATGTTTTGATCTCTTCTAGATCTAGAGACTCGATTCTCTTAACTAGTGCACAGCTAGACCTACGTTTCATATATCCAAACCATCGCAAACAATCCTTTTTCATATTTTTTTTAATTCAAACTACCCTAATTTTTTTCATATCTCTTTATTTTTTATTCTATCTCTTCTAGTCTTATCACACATTCATCTATGTATCCTCATATCCGTTACGTTCATTTTCTTCTTATATTATTTTTTAACAGCCTAACACTTAATTTCATATAGTAATGCAAGTCTTACATTTGTTTTATACAACTTCACTTTTAATTTTAAATATATGTTGTAATATACATATAAATAAAATATAATAATAATTTATAAATTTACAAATTTTATTGAATTTTATTTTGAATTTGAGCTCAAATATGATCTCTTCACATAAATTAAGGATGTCATAGCATAACTGAGTAATTATATTACATTTTGAGCCAAATTTGAATTAAAAAACTTACTATTAAGTTTTTTAATTGAGTTAATCTCAATTATATATTGTATCGATTCAATGTCAAGTATAACATTATGTCGATTCAATTTGACTCAATTACAAGTTTTAACTCTGATTATTACAAATATAACATTAACAATTATTCATTAAAACATTTATATGTATGTATATAACAATTAACAAGACATCATTTAATTAAAATTATTTGCCTTGGTGAAGTTTAAATAATGCAATTCATTACAATTGTATATCTCATAACTTGAATAGAAAGTTTTTATCCAAAGTGATTATCAAATATTATTACTACTATTTATTGTGACTAAAAATATATTTTTTATATAAAAAGTGAAGGTTAAATACTCCTTTGGTTCTTATATTATATATATTTTTTAATTTAATACTTAAATAATAAAATTCATAGTTAGATTTTTAAATTTTTATTTCGTCATTCATTTTTATATTTTTGACTAATATTGTTATTTAATTTGTTGATATAATATGAATATCTAATAATATGTTAACATATGTCAAAAGTCTAGTTATTGAACATCATCAATTGTCACATCATTATTATGAGAAAAATTCAACAAATTCAAAAAAAATAAAAAAGTCTTTAAAAAATTTAGGAAATCGAAAGAACCCTAAAAATTAAAAATTTTGATAAACAAATTTTGCAATATTTAAAAAATTAAAAAAATAAATAAAAAACCAACAAATTTCAAAAAAATTTTAAAAAATTAAAAATCTTAAAAAATTAAAAATATTTGAAAAATTAAAAAAAATCTTAAAAAGTAAAAAATATAAAATATACAAATTTTAAAAAAATATAAAAGAAAATCTGAAAAATTAAAAAAATCCTAAAATGTTCAAAAAAGAATCTTAAAAATTAAAAGGAATAAAAATTTAAACATAAAAAATCCAAAAAATGAAAATTCCAATTATTAGTTTTCAAGTTTTTATGGAATATTTTAATTTTAATTTTTATATTTTTTAGGTTTTTAAATTTTTTTATATATTTTTGAATTTTTATGATTTTTAAATTTTTTCCTGTTTTGAATTTTTGGATTTTATGATGGTTTCAGATTTTTCTTCTTTTCTTTTGAAAATTTAGAAAAATTTCATTTTAATATATTTTTTGAAATTTTATTAAAAATGTTAGACTTTTTAAAATTTCTTAAAAATTGTTTCAGATTTTGAATTTTTTAATTTTATAAAATTTTTGAAAACTTCCTTTAATACTAATGTAGCAATCAATTATGCAATATTTATCGAATTTTTAATATGTATTAATATTTTATTAAATATTTATATCATATCAATAAATTGACTTACCATTTTAGCTTGATGCCAAAATAAACGTGGGAATTAAAATTGAAATCGTTAATTGTAAAATTTTTTTAAATAGTAATATTAGTTCTAATCATTAATTCTTACAATGCCGTCAGCAAAATTGTCACCTATCAAGTCACCCACACAAACCCCACGCTCAATATATGCGCGTGGACCACAAAACTGAAGCAAATCCGATGTTTATATTACCATTCATTTATTTGTTCTGTCAGTTTCGTTATTTTCTTTATCATAATTTATGGTAATACATCAAAATTAAAATATATTTTTTATTTCATTAAATTTATAAAAAAAATTTCAAGCATATTCTTTTTTATGTTTATTTTTATATTATTTTCGTACAATATTAATGCATCGTGTTTAAAACATCAAATCTACACGTGGGATCCCCTTCTCAGTCCACTCTCCTCCACTTTCTATCGTCCACCTGTCGCTCACTGTTTAAAAAAAAAATGATGGAATTACAGGTGGAAACAATTTTAATTATAAAAAACAAAAATAAAAACCGGCCATTTGCTACCAACAACAACGCCTTCCACGACAGCTTCCCACCGATAGCTCTAATCTCTATATATAAATCAGGAAATCAAATCATTTTGTAGTTTTATTACTGCTTCGCCGTTAACCTCTCCTGGCGCTTTCTTTCTCTGTCGGTCATTGTTTCATTTTTTTTTAAAATTATTTTAATTAAGATGGTTGCACTCAAGGCGGTACGGCCAGCAATTTCTTGTTCTTCTTCCGGTTTCGAGATTGGCCGGTCGGTACCGGTTCCCAAGGTTGGTTTCGTGAAGTTGCCGTTGCCGGCGTCATCACCTTCTTTGGGGTTGAGTAGCGGCAACAATGCGAGGTGGAGCTTGGTTCAGGCGATGGAGGAGTCGACCGTGGCGATTACGAATGATCGTGCTGATGTCATTTCTGGTATATATTTTTAAAATTTCATTGGTGATCCGGTGTTTAATTTTCTTTTCTGGTCAAGAATTTGATTCCATTTTTTTAATTTAAAGAAAGTAAAAAAAAAAAAAGGAAAAATGAAATCTTTGGTTTTTTTCTTAGAAATAAAGAAGTGGATTTTGGGACCCCCCTTTTCCTTGTTCGAGGAGAGGGAGGCTGTTAAAAAAGGCGGTATTTTTGGTTACAGCCAAATGTGCTATATTCAGCTGGCTTGGATATGTTTTTAACTAATAACTTTTTTTGGCCCTTTTATTTGGAGTTTTTTATTAAAACAAATGGTAAGGTGGAGGGAAGGGAAGGGCTAATTTGGTTGACTTTTGAAGTTATTTTCAGCCGAATTTGGTTGTAGAATTGCAAGCATTAGCATTTTTTACTTCGCTCTAAATTGGTTCTGGTTCCATTCTTTTAGACAGTGGCTACACCGAATTATTATCGATACTGTCATCACAAAACTGGTTCCTTTTAATTTTTATAGCCAAGATTGTTGTTTGTTTAATGGATAAGTTGGGGACGATGAAGAAGTTGAGCTTGGGGGTCTTTATTTTGGACATGGGTTGTGCCTAGCTGTGAGGTTATACCTGGCCGCTATGTCACTATCACCAAAATTTTTGTCCTTGATGGTGTTCTTTATAGAGTTCCAGCCTTGAAGTCATCAAATTTCCACTCTGCATATAAGTTCGATGAATGCTGACAAGGTTGGCCTTAAAAGCATAACTGGTTTTGGCCCGGTAAAATTCCTTAACAAATTTATGAAATGGTTGGCGTCCAAAATCACATATTCCAGATTTAGATGGAGGTCTAAAGAACAACCACAACACTTCAGCTGAAAGACTGAAGCCATATTTTTTAAACAGAAAAAAAAAAAAGGAAAGTAATTAGTAAAATAACCTTTGCATATACTGGCTTCTTTTTTTGTGGTGATAGTACCTATAATAATTCAAGAAGGTCCATCTGAATCCCCAAGCATCAGCCTTTCAGATTTGATATTTTTTTTAGCTTTAGAGGCCGGTTTTTTTATTTTTGGCAAATGACTTTCCCATTTTGGGAGACATTGTTTTATAATGTAGCATGGGAACTCTGGCGATCCCTTGGAATTAGTTAGTGGCAATGATGACTGCACAAAGTCATGATTTCTTTAGTATATGGTTTCTTTCCAGCCGGATCTACTTGGGTTTCTGATTTCAAAGTCTAACTAGGTGAAAATCTCCGCCAGATGGCTACCAACGGAAAGGCTACGAACATTGTATGGCACAAAAGTTCAGTTGGTAAACTTCATCGGCAAGAGTTACTTCAGCAAAAGGGTTGTGTCATATGGATTACAGGTCTCAGTGGGTCAGGTTTGTTAAAGTATTTTATACGGATACTAAAATTTGTGCTAAATCTCTTTATTGCCATTAACTTATTTCTTGATTTTTACTGTCTATGAGTGTATAAGATGGCTTCTGGAGCTTATGACATGCTTTAGTAATCTCTTTTTTATGCTAAAACAACAATAAAAAGTTGACAAAAACTGAATCTTTGGTCTTTTAGTAGTGGAGGAACTGAAATTTTCAAAATCAAGAACTTAGGTCGACACAGCTGAGAGCTGACATTTCAGAGTGCCTTCCTTGTGATTATACTTGATCTTTGTTCTTGCTTTTTGTTAGTTTCTCCTTGCTAAACTGAAGAGTGTGTTCAAACATCATATTTTTATCCCATTATTTTGCACCCTCTCTTTCACTTTCTCTTACTGGGTCTACGAATTTAGGAAAGAGCACTTTGGCATGCGCTCTGTGCCAAGCATTGTATTCAAGGGGGAAGTTGACTTACATCCTTGATGGTGATAATGTTCGGCATGGTTTAAACCGTGACCTTACTTTTAAAGCGGAAGATCGTGCTGAAAACATACGACGTATTGGTAAACGCTGTTTGATTCCTCATCATTGTCCTTTTCTGCTTTATCGTTTCATTCTCTTCTTCTGATGGTTTTAACTTTCAACTTCTTGTTATTCACATACAGGAGAAGTAGCAAAGCTCTTTGCCGATGCTGGCATCATCTGCATTGCCAGTGTGATATCTCCCTACAGAAGAGACAGGGATAAATGTCGTTCACTGTTGCCAGAAGGAGATTTCATTGAGGTATGTGTTCCCTTTCAGAAACTTGAAATCCTTGGGCAGCATTTATCTGACTTGTGATTTATACTAAGGTGAAAGGCCTTTGCATCAGACAAAGGTTCTTTATTACTCTATGAAAAATTCAGTAGGCAATGCTTTGGACAGGTGTTCATGGATGTGCCACTGCAAATATGTGAGGCGAGGGACCCAAAGGGCCTGTACAAGCTTGCAAGAGCTGGCAAAATTAAAGGTGTCTGTCCTCCAGGATTTTGTATCTGAAGATTGGTATAATCTCACATTTTAAGAGTAGCTTATGTAATATTTTCTTTGTAGGTTTTACGGGTATTGATGACCCATATGAACCACCTCTGAATTGTGAGGTATGTAGATCATTGGAGTGACATTCTTGTTTGGCATGGGCTCATACTTGTTCAAAGATGCACCGAAATATTCTATATGCTCCAAACATGAAAGTTAAGCTGACACATATCTTGAAATGGCCTCAAACATGTTCTTGCTTAGATGCTAGTGTGCTTATGGATGGCTATAGCTATATGAATATGATAGATATTCTTTCATGATTCAAGTATCTGATATTGGCTGGCATATTTCTAGTCATCTCAATCTGAACATGTCAAAGCCATGCTTTAGACTAATTTGCATGATTCTGGAATTCCTGCATATTATTCAAAAGGGCTTTCCACTGTTTCATAATTTTTTATTTTTCTTTAAATATTGTATTCCAACATTCAAATTGAAGCTCAAACTTTCTATTTTGCAGTTAGTATTACCACAAAAGGGAAGCAACTGTGCTTCCCCATGTGAAATGGCTGAAACTGTGATATCTTACCTGGAGGAGAAGGGGTACCTGGTGGCCTAAGAAGAGAGAAACCCTGATATTCCTGGTTGCCATAATCACCTCTAATATAGTATATTGAATCAATGAAAATTTATTCTTTTCTAAATTAAGGAAATTTCGCGTTTCCTGCATTAGGGAAACTTCTTGTTTCCCATATCTATATCCTGTTTCTGGCATCAAGGAAACTTCTTGTTTCCTGCATCTGTAGCCTGTTTCCGGTATCAGGGAAACTTCTTGTTTCCGACATCTGTAGTTTATGCCCTGTATTAGATAATTAATCGCTTGATTAATTAGTGTCAGTGTCCTTTATTAGGCCTTATTAAAGGCACTTGAGTAAATTGGCCTTAGTCTGGGAGCAAGGAATAAAGATGGACTCAAGGTGGTAAAGTTATTGGTGTATGAATTTGTATTGGTGAATGAGTTTGTGTTTTGTAAATTTGTAATGATTGCTTATGAATAAAAGGCTATCTCAAGTTTTTACTAAAAGATACCCTTAAATTTGTAGATTTCTTCTTTTCTTTTTATGTAAGTACATGGATTGTGTGTGCATCAACCAGGATTTTGCCATGATTAAAGCATTTAGCTTAATGATCCCTAATCAAGCAATGTCAAATTGCTAGCCTAGAGAACTAGGGATGGGTATACCAATTCGCAACTAGATCAGCCTTTGAGCTCCCAAAAATTTTTAACAGCCTTCAGCATCTGTTTAAATGTGCAAGATTCTGTTTCGATCCCCCATCTCCAAGGTTTTTCTTTCAAACCCCTAAGATAGTCTTGATATAAAACATGGAAAATCAACGTGAAGGTTCGAGTTTCGATCCCCTACATCCAAATTACAACATAATAAAGGAAAGGATGATAATATTATGATCTAAATGAATGGCCATAGTTAACATAAACAGGTAAATATCTTGTGAGGATATGTATCTGAAAATGAAAATGGAGCTGATTTTTTACATTCCATTTTCCAAATCATTCTCTTTTACATTTGTTTTACATGTTGACTGGCTCCCTAAACAGAATTCACTGTAAAATCATCTCTGATATCTGATGAGTCTTGCCTATAGATCCCCAAGAAAACTTTGCTAAAATCGGCATCGTGTTACTTGGAGAAACTACTCATTTTTTTGACAGAAAGTCATTGACTTGATGGATTGCTTTTAACCCCAAATATTGTCATAGGCTTCTAGATTTGAAACCAAATAATAAAAATAAAAAAATAAAAAGATAGAAGTACTTCCATTTACCTACCAACCAGTCTACCATAGAAAGTGTGAATTAATACAAATCAGGTATCCTGCAAAATTATCCCTTTTCTTATCTTAATTTGAAGAGAAAACTGGTATATACTTTCATTGCTTGGATGATTCTCATTTGAAGTACAGCAATGGTTGACACCTAGCAAGCACACTGCAGCTTGGAAATAAATACATGAATCGATAAATTTGCTAATACTTATCAATTAATTTGCCAAAGTGACAAAATGCGAGTAATTGAAAGCATGCCATATATTGATATATACGACATGTATTCTTCTTGATCAGTGAGTGACAAAAGCTTAAAGTGCAGCTAGAAACAGTACCATAAAACAAAATCAGCTTAAATAACTGATAGATGGACGTTCTTAAAATTTCAAGAAGGAAGGAAGAAAGAAGGAAAAGAATATCAAATGTAGGCAAGACCGATCTCTGGTCTTGCATGTCCATGGATGGACAAGGAGCAGACAACAAAGGCCATGGTCATGGAAATAGCAGTTGAACTCGCAGCATCTAAAGTTGCAGAGAATTGCCTCTCTTGCAGACCCCAAAGCGTCCTAACAAGCAATCCACATCCACCATTGCCAGCACGAGGGCCATTTGTAGAAGTGAAAGAAAAGAGTATAAAAGAATAACAAGAGAACCCCCTGAGGTACTGCAGAAACAGCCAGACCTAAACTATATTGATCAGAAACTATCTCTTTCAGCTAAAAAAAAGGGGTTAAAGAGAGACTCAGAGCTTGTATATTGCAGCTGAAAAAAAGATGGGGGGTAAAGGGATTGAGTGATTGAGATTGCCGTCTTTTTCTTGGCTTTTCTCGTGATAAAAAAGTAGTTGTTAATCATTCACTTTAAAATCCATTGGTAAGTCCTCATCACGTACAGATGAGATAGAAGCCTACATAACAAATTTCAGAAAGAGGAAGACAAGGATAGTAGAACAAAACCAAGCTCTAATAGTATGTTAAAATGTCCGGCTAATAACAAATGGATATATGTGATAATCCAACTTCAATATAAAATTATAAAAAACTTAAGATTCAGATACGGTATAACACAATTTTAGTGATAGTTTTGTTGGGATATTTTTAGATCGGTGAAACAAAATTTTCGGGCATCTTTGGGAAACGAATACATCTGATCTGTTAAGGAACAAAGAATAATCAAATGAACATCAGAATTATAATTAAAATTTTGAGATGCGCTCCAACATATAAATCAATGACTGTATGCTTTCCAATTTTTATACATGAAGATATAATTGCATGGTGTTTTCTTTACTTGCGAGTTAAGTCTAACTATGTCAAGTGGCATACAAGTGGCTTTCTTAAATTTGTGTAGATTACTCGTGTGAGTCTGTTCTAACTTTATCTCGAGCATTAACTTCAATGGGTCCAACAAGTTTCATCGTTATAGTTTTTAAAGATAATATTAGGAAATATTTTTAAATTATAATAAAATATTTAATGTGATATTTATATTTAAAAAATTTTAATATAATATTTGAATTATGAATTTATTAATTATTTGACGAGTTATTTGTGGTATCATTTAAAGTTAATCACATTAAATATAAATATAATAATAATTAATAAATTTATAATTTAAGTATCAATTAAAAACTTTTAAATAAAATACTATATATTTAATTATAATTTATAAGCCATTTGTGACATTAACCATAATTTTTATATGACAACGTATAGGTAGTAAAGCCTGGATTCTGATATCACCTAAGCTATGCTATTTACTGTTTCTGATATCAACAGACAACATGGCCTGGATTTTGGAAGCAGACGGTTAATAGATTCAATAAAGCTCGATGCAATCAAATTTGCTTACAAAGTTATTAAGATTGCTTACCTTCATTTCTTTAGGTTTCCTATATTCTTTTGTTATCTAATAACAAAAGAAGTATTAATTTCAAGTATGCTATCTGCAACGTTAACTTCTTTGAGTTTTTTTCAATACAAAAAAGATGAAATAGAACAGCATTTCGGAGGGTTAAAAGGGTTTATTTGGAAATAGATTACTGAGATAGAAGGGAGATGATAATGATTGAATTTTTCCCTTTCCTTCAGGAGTGTCAAGATAGTTGAATTTGACAAGGATGGGACAGTTGAAAAGTATGAAACAAAAACATCAATCTAACCTTCCTGTAGGATTGTTAACCAGATTGTGGTAAGCAAATTGAGCACCTAAATTTTTTTGCTCTGTTGGATGGCATTTGCTCCCTTGGTAATCATTCTTGATTCATCAAAGACTCCAGTATTGGTTCATACCTTCTCTTAAAAGCCAATTTATAATGCCATCCTCTCAAAAGTAGATGATCCAATAAATCTTCAATCAAATGAATTTCTTCATCGTGGCCTTCAAAAGTCTACTTGTAATGTTAAGGCGATAGCTAATTCATTGATGCTCCATATGTGCTGATTGTCAAAATCATCCGATGTCTGTATTCGTACATGTATGAATATATCAATAAAGAGGAGCTTCAATTATCCTATTTCAAAAATAGACTATTATAGAACATTTAAAATTACATGTAAAATACAAATAAAATGATATCAGGAGGCTTCAAGCATCAACAAGAAAGAGAATGAGGAGGGGACACCAAGGCATCGCCAGGTTAAGAATCAGTGATAATCATCAATGAAAAACCATCATCCAAGCAACTTCAAATGATTTGACTACACCTATTTCCCAGAACTTCTATTTAACTGGGCAAGAAAAAAAAAAGGGAAAAGGGAGATTAGAAGACTGAAAATGTCAACAAAATATGAAAGTGCATTGATTGAGCAAAAGGCATACAAGTACAGATAATTTTTCTCCATTATTTTCAAACTGGAAACTTTACCTGCATCTCTCTAGCCATTGAAGGTAGCCACCTCTCCCCCCTAATCCTTTTCAGTTCTGCAATTCTATCTTCCTCTCTCTTTGCTTTTTCTTTTGCTGCTGCATCTTTAGCTTCTAGTCTAGCTAATGATTTCTGGCTTGCATGCATTGCTGCAGCCAATATATCTTGTCCATCCACAGCTACAGATTGCAGTTGTCGTCTAAACTGCATGCCACCACGATAGCTAAATATAAATTAAGAGGGTTTAATAAAGAGTAAAATGATAAAAAAAAAAAAAGAATTAACAGCAAGAAAAGATATATCCAAACCACAAGCAGACCTTTTTTGAATTCTTATCAATCCCTCTTGCAGGAAGGATTTTTGGTCTCTTTCTGGGTCCTTGAATTTCATCTGATAGCAAACAAAAAACCTTCAACCTCAAATACAATAAGGTAGGGTAACTCTTACGAGAGCCAGCTCAGATGAAAAGAGCAAATGCACATTCAATTGCAATATCAACACCAATCAATCAGAAATTACCAATTAATAGGATATCCAGTAATAACTGATCCAATTTCTACAAAAATGATAGCTTGAATCCATGAAAGACTTCGCATTAGTTTTCAAAATAGGCTGCATTTTTTCCCATTCACTAAAATCTGCATCTAGAATCAACTACTTGAGACCAATGTACTAGCAACAGAGACAAGGAAAAATAGGTTGAACAATGAAGATTGATATGTAGAACGTAAAACATTCTCCTAATCCCAGAAAGAGATGGCAATGAGTGAAAAATATACTCACCTACGTGGTCAAATACAATCCCAGGAGTGGAATTTTTAAATAATCGAACTCCACCTTCATTTACCATACTATCATCGTCTGGGACATTACTGACATCCTTCACTATCACTAGAGTCTTCTCTAACATGTCTTCCAAAAGCTTATGTGCCTGCTTATGGTTTTTATCAGTCAGCAAACAAAACAAGCCAGCATAAGGGTTCAAATTGAATGAAAAAAAAAAAGAATTAGAGACTATGAATTCCAGCTTCGACAGTTACTAAAATCGAGTCCTTTTAAGTTGCTGAACCTATTGAAATACCCTTCATTTAAGTTCCATAGAAGAAAATTAGACTTCCCGGTACCAAATTTGATGCCAACTTACGGGAAATATGAGTCTTTCTTTATGTGAAATATCAAATCATTAGCTGGACTCGATATGAATCTAAAAGTTCATATTTTTTAAGTTGATATCCAAACCAACTATTTGCAAAATTACACAGATAAGCTAATGCCAAAAAAAACCAAAGATAGAAACATGGGAAAGCTTGGGAACCTTGATTTGGTAATGTTTAAGCTTCTGGGGTTGCTGCTTTTGTTTTTCTTCTTCATCATCATCATCTGTATCTGGGGTTGAATGTGAAACAAGGTTGCATCTTGTTTTTGTTGTTGATGCTGTGAAGCTGTTGGAGAAGGATTTATTGAAACCATTAGCGGCGAAAGTGGAGGTGGTGGCGGCGGCTATTGATTGTATGGCAGATTTCCACTCTGCATCTCCGTCTTCTTCCCCACTGCTGCTGCCGCTTCTGGTTGGACTTGGTCTTCCCATTGTTAAGCATATACAATAATCGCCGCTGGCATTTCATTTCCCTTTAATTGGTGCATTTAACCCCGTCGGAGAGTTTCATAATTGGGCTCTAGCCTGCTTGGTTTCATGTAGCCCAAGCCTGGATTTAAACATTGACAAAAAGGGCCTGATATTTGTTCTTTATAACTGTTTTGTTTTTAATTGAAGTCTGATCAGAGACTCGCAGTCAACGTTAAGGAATACAAAGAAAAGCCTAATTGTTTCAACTGGCTTCAAATGGGGCCGTAGTCGCCGGTTCAGAGGGTCGGTGATCATCGGAACCGGCAAACTGAGAACTCACCTTCTCAAGCGGTCAAAAGTCAACCTCCCTCCATAAACCAATCCCTAATCAGATTCAATCGTAAACCCTCGCGATCTCGCCAAACTCAATTTCAATAAAATTCCAACAAAATAAAGCTATTGACAAGCCAGGAACCCTATAATTGAATCGTCCAAGAGAAGCTCGCGAAGATGGGGAAGAAACAGCACAGCAAAGATCGAATGTTCATAACAAAGACGGAGTGGGCCACCGAGTGGGGCGGCGCTAAATCCAAAGAAAATCGCACCCCTTTCAGACGCCTCCCCTTCTATAGCTGCGCGTATGCTTCACTGGCGATTCCCACATTTGTTTATATCGTTACTAAATTCATGTTCATTTACTTTCTCAACATTTTAATTTTCTTTTTTTCATGGGTTTTCTTATTCAGACTTACATTTACGCCCTTTGAGTTGCCGTATGCGTGAAGGATGGCAGCGTCTTTGATTTAATGTTGGTATCTTTATATATTCATTTGTTACTAATTCTAAGCTTTCATTTTTAGTGTAATTTAGGGTTTCATTTTTATTGTTTTCTGGTGTAGGAATATAATTCCCTATATTAGGAAGTTCGGGAAGAATCCGGTTACTGGGGCTCTATTGAAGCTAGAGGATCTTATCAGTCTTACTTTCCACAAGAATTTTGAAGGTTAGAGCTATTTTATTAACGAATTCTTTTTTTTTTTTTAGTAACATGAATGAAATGTAATACTTGAGCAGCCATATGATATTTTGCCACGGTCATGTTTAAGCAAAGCATGTTGTAGATTTAGAAGTAAATTTTATAGAGCTTATATTAAAAAGAAATGCTTGTTTGAAATATTGTTTCCTTGTTGTACAAAATATAGTGTAATAAAGGTGTTGTTCCTTGTTGTATTTGTTTATTTGACTTATACAGATAACATTAATAGCTCTCTAGATTAGTTTATAAGGTGCATGAGATTAACGGAGGATGCATATTTTGCACGTGATAAAGCCATGTTATGCAAAACGAAATTTTGGTCTTCTATTCTTTACTTCACTTCTTATAACATTTTCAACAATGTTGAACTTTAGTGTGCACCTCTTCTTTTAGCTATGGCTTGCAAATTCTGGATGTTATACAGTTATCTTGGGTTTGAATTGCAAAAACAAAACTATGATATGAGTTGTTGCTTGTTATCTTTAGGGTTATTCTCATTTTCTCTAAAAACAAGTGTATGAAGAATGCAAGTTCTAACAGATGTTGGAGTTATTTCATGTTCTTTTATTAGTTTAATTAGTTGATGTCCTGCAGGACTAGAGTACACTTTATCTTTATTTAAATTTTGAGCTGAAAATAAGAAGTTGAAATTAGAGTTGGCTATTTAATGGCCTTTTTGTTCAGTGTCATAGTATCATTTTTGTTGGTTGTGTAATGACATCGTTTTTCCATTACCATGAAGTTGGTAGATTGGAGCGAAACTAGTTATTTCGGCTATAAATCCCTTGAAAATGAAGGATAATGGGTTGGGAAAGTGCATATGATAATAAATCTTATGTTTGTTATAGTGCTGAAATCATATCTTGTGAAATCATCTTTAACTAATTGAGAAATGGAATAAATATTTGAAATGCTCTTTGGTGGTAGTGTGCATAAGGGCTATGAATTCTCATGGTTAATAGATTTAAACCTTGTCATAATAGTCTTGGTCTTCTTATTAATGTTGTCATATTGATTATATTGTTGCAATTTGGTAAAAGTGCTGTGCATAAACAATGTTCATTAGGATCACTTTCTTGTTTTATGTGCAGCCTTGTAGGTATACTGATCGCTTTTCTTTTTTATTTCACATTTTTTAAGAATTTAGTTTATTTTGGAGGTCTAGTCTTTGCAAGTTTGGTTTACTTCCATGCCTTAAGGATATTAAAATGGTTCCTTACCTCAATGCAGGAGAGTATCATTGTCCTGTGCTGAACAAAGTTTATACCGAGTACACACACATAGTTGCTGTGAAGACTTCGGGAAATGTGTTCTGTTATGAGGTTTAGTTTATTGTTTATTGTCAAGGTTATGGTCACATGTGTTAAAGCACAATAATATTGTTCCTTTTTTTTTTTTCTATTGTAGGCAATTAAAGAATTAAATATCAAGACCAAATGTTGGAGAGAGCTTCTCACAGATGAACCTTTCACTAAGGAAGATATCATTACAATTCGGGTAAGTGGTACAGTTAATTTATATTCCTTTTATCTCTGATTGATGCATATTTTAATTGTTTTGCCAGCATTACATTATGATTATAAGTTGGTTCTTGTTTTGCTGGTCATATTCTGCAGAATCCTAATGCACTTGACAGTAAGGTTACCCTGGATTTTGATCATGTCAAAAATAGTTTGAAGGTTGATGATGAAGGTATGTATTTGTAGCTGTTTTGGCTCTGCTTGCTGGTAGGATTAGCTATGTCCAACCCTCCTTTTTCATGGTCTTATTTCTCATATAATCTCTTTGCAGAACTAAAGAAAATGAGTTCAGATCCAACTTATAACATAAATGTTGCTAGGGATATCAAGCATATGCTAGCGGAGCTTGGAACAGATAAAGCAAAGCAAACTGCTCTGCTTGGAGGTGGTGGCAACAAGGCTCAAAATGAGAGAGCTGCTACTTTTGCTGCCATTTTGGCTGCAATGTCTCACATCAAAGAGGCTTCAAAGTCAGATGCAAATGGAGAGAGTAAAACTCAACCTGCATTTAGTATTGTAGATGCTGCATCTGCTTCAGTACATGGAAGAAGTGCAGTGCAGCAAAAGCTGCATGAAGTGATAAAACTGCTTCTCAGATAGCTATGCACATGGCTGGAGAGAGGGCACCTGTGAATGCTAAGCTGGTAAATTCCTTGTTTTCTTGGCTTTGCTTTCGGACATCACATTTATCATAGAGCCCCATCCCAAACTAGTGCCTAGTTTGAAGGTTAATATCTTTTATTCAAACAGGATATTTTATCATTGTTTGAGTTTCTACCTCATTCTGTGTGCTGGTTGTTCTTTAGAGACGTTTGGTATTGATTTGTTGATTAGACATTCTGATGGTAACGACTTGTGATAACTATCATTCTATTATCAATCAATTGATAGTGGTAAGCTTATGTGAGAGTTGGTATATTAATTATATAGAAAGTGGAAAAGGATAATTCTTGATGAAGATGGTCATGGCTTTAGAATCTTAGTCATCATTTTAGATCAATGATGGGTTTTTAGCATGCAGAAAATGCCAGAAGATATCTCTAAAGAATGAGCCTTGGTCAGTGTTAACATTGGATTGTTTATCAGATGAAGAGCTGTTTTACAACCAGTGCTGCTTCACGATCCTTTACTTCTACCTCTTATGATCCTGTCACCAAAAATAAATTTGAGTTTGTTAAAGTTGAAAAAAATTCCATAAAGAAAGGTTATGTTCAGCTGCATACAACACATGGTGATTTGAACATTGAGCTGCACTGTAATATAACTCCAAGGACATGTAAGAACTTCATCACTCTTTGTGAACGTGGTTATTACAATGGAGTGGCCTTCTATAGAAACATTCAGTATTGTTACAATTGCTCAGTTCAAATTCTATCTTCTGTTTTCATTACTTGGCTTAATAGTTTGACTCATACTGATGAATTTATTGTTTCTGGTGTCTAGGAATTTTATGATTCAAGGCGGTGATCCAACTGGTACTGGGAGAGGAGGTGAATCTATATGGGGAAAGCCTTTTAAAGATGAAATGAACTCTAAGTTGCTTCATTCAGGAAGAGGTGTTGTTAGTATGGCAAACAGTGGCCCTCATGCAAATGGTTCCCAGTTTTTCATCCTCTACAAATCTGCAAATCATTTAAACTTCAAATATATGGTTTTTGCTGGAGTTGTTGGTGGCTTGACCACACTATCTGCTATGGAGAAGGTTCCTCTGGATGACAATGACCGACCTCTGGTGAGTTTTGATGTTTTCTTTCCATAATTAGTGATTTTTCTAGTTTGTGTGTTTCCCATTATAGCACGTGCTTAATGTCATTGACATGGTTGATTGCTTCTTTAATACAAATGCAAGTTCCCTGCCTCTTCTTTGTAGTATTTAAGTATCTTTATTGTTCGAAGGATTGGCTTCTAGGATAATTTCGGTTCCAAGCCTAATTTCTGTGTGTTTTCCTCTGTTGCTTGTGCAGGAGGAGATTAAAATAATTAGTGTCACAATATTTGTGGATCCGTACTTGGAACATGATGGATCGGAAGAGGAAGAGGAGGGGGAAGGTGAAAAGACTGCTGAGGATGAAGACAATGTTAGTTTTGGACCCCCTGATCCTGAGAATCCTGGATTTTAGTTTTCCTTTTTTTTTTCCCAATTTATATTTCTGCTTTACAACTGATGATTTGGGCCTTTTCTTTGAATTCCAGGATAAGGTTGGGTCTTGGTATAGCAATCCAGGTACAGGAACAGCAGAATCGGGAGCTGTGGGTGGTGGCGGTGTTGCGAAGTACTTGAGGGCTAGGAATACTCAAAGTGAGTCTGCTGCTGTTGATACCATTCTAACAGCAATTTCTGTAACAAAGAAAAGGAAAGTTTGGCGGGACAATTTAAAGATTTTTCTGCTTGGTGAGTTTCCTTAATGCTGTACAATCCTTTTAAATGATACAAAATGTGCTTTGGAGCTTGGAAGCAAGGGATGCTCAAACTTGAATTCGCCATTTAATGCTGCTCTGACAAGAACCACTTTAGCAAAAATATGGGAGTGAAAGAGTCAATAGCAGAAGGATTTTTTTTTTTTTT